GGCCATCACCCCCCTGGGTACTCTGGGCCGGCGGTTCCAGATGGCTCATAGGACCAGGCTGGCCAAGTTTTGCCCTGTTTGATGAGAGTCCACCTGTTTGTCTGTGTCTGATAGCCCCCGAGAAATGGAGGCAGTTCACATCATGTCCCCCTTGTACAGAAGAGAACACTGTTCCTGAAGCAGAGAGACTGGTCAGAACAAGACTGCAGGTGGGCAGGGCCTCCTGCAACCCATGATGGGGCAGGGCTCTGTGTCCAGCAGGATGGGAAGGCCTGTTTCTGCCTAGATCTGTTCTAAACCGTCACATCCCATGTCCCCTTTATTAGCGGTCACTGCCGATCCCCTAGCTGCCCAGAGTCATCCCCATAGACTATAATCTCAGCCTCACTAACAGGGCAGCCAGCAGTTTCTGAGGATTCAATACACAGAAGTACAACCGCTGAGTTCAAAATTTTCCAGGCCACCAAGGAGCTGAGTACATTTTGAAATGTGCTGGAGGGTGGGTCCCATCTTGGATGACTGGGAAGAGGGAGGTCAACACCCTGACTTGTTTTTCCTACTGCTCCCTTACCCTCAGCCCTACTCCTCCACCTCACAAGGTGTTTTTCTTTCATTACTTCAGTAATTGAACTGAAAGCAGAGGATCGGAGCAAGTTTCTGGATGCACTTGTTTCCCTCCTGTCCTGACGGTGAGATGTGGGGGTGGAGTGGGGTGCTGGAGAGTTCAGGGGGGCTCGGAGGAGGAGGCTGGGGGGTGGCCCTGCCACAAAGCCAGTCCTGTTGAAGTGTAAAGAGGGCCCCTCATTCCCTGCTTTGAGTTGTCTGCTCTTTCCCTTAAGCCAGGCTTTTCTGCTTGGGTTTCAGACCCAACCAGTGTTCCCGAGATTTGGAACCAACACATTTTTCCCGAGGATGTCTGTCCCTGGCTGGCGGCAGTGCCACAATGGAGCATTTTTGAAGGAGCTAATTTCATTAAGCTCCTGGGACTCTTTCAGCAGGAGCTGGCATTTACCCTCTCCTGATCACACAGTGGGCTGGACATCAGTGAGCAAAACGCAGGCCTCCTGGCACTGCCAGAAAAGAGGGTGACCGCTTGGTGGGGGGGCACCTGGAGCCTTGCTGCCTTTGCAGCTTTGTATCAGGCCCTAGGCAAGAGCCCACGGAGGCTTCTATCCAGTCTCTTGTGTGCTTGACTTAGGAGAAAACAAAGCTGTTGGCAGCCACTCATCGGTAACTATAAAATGTCGTCTGTGTGGGCCTACACCCATGTGAGGCTGTCACTGGAAGTTCACAGTGATGCTCACCAGCCGGGACTCTCCCCACTGCCACTCATGCCATCTCTTTTGAAGGGCCCCCTGCACAGTAGATGCCCACACCCAGTCCTGCATCTCCTTGAGCCCTGGGCTGGAGCCACTGCTGGGGTAGACAGGCCTTGTCAAGGCTCTGAGGTAGGGGGTCCCCTTGTTCCGGCCCAGAGTCTTCCTACTCCCCCACCATCCATAGTGAGCTGGAAGCTGTGGAAGGCAGGTGTCCTTCCTGTGTCAGGGATCCAGTGGGCTCTGCTAAGAATGATATAGGGGGTCTCAGGGGCCCCACAGCCCCTCTTTCAGGGTAGGCTAGGGCATAAAGGGGCTCGTGTTGGGGAAGAGCTTTGGGCTTAGACCCTTTGGGTCTTCAGCAAGGTCTGTTGGGTACCTCACCAGGCTGTGGTGGTTTCCTCATCAGAAACGGGGCTAACACCCCTTGGATAGTGAGCACTGAGCCTTCAAATAGGGGCAGGGTGTATGTTTATGACACAAATCAAAGGCTACACATGGGGACTCTTGGGCGGGGGCTGGTGTTTGAGACATACCCCTCCCCTGTAGCCTGCTCAGTGATGACGCCAGTGCTGCTGTTTGCCCTGCCACCATGACAGTGTGTGCGGTGAGCCATCCAGGAAGAGAAGGTGGGTGGGGGGACAGTATGAGGAGGCATTCCAGGCCAGGGGAGAAGCCTTGTGAAGGCACCACAGGGCTGAGGCTGGACAGGGCACTGGCAGGGTTGTTAGATGCCCACAGCGATATGGTGGTGGAGGGCCTTGAGGCCATGGAGGTGCTCAAGCAAATGACAGCCTGGACCAGCCAGTGGGCACCTCGGTCATTCCAGGGTGGCCCTCCACCCATGGTCACCACTCCTCACCTGTGTGAGTGGTGGAGGCGACTCAGAAGCAAGACCAGCATGTCAGAGGCAAAGCCTGAGCACTTTGTTCGCTTAATTTGGAGAGAGATCAGAATTGTTTGAAATTTACTTTTTTTTTTTTCTTTTCTAGAGTTTGATTTCTTCCGATGTGACCTCCTTCTCCTTATTTATATTAACTGGGTTTTACTAGACTGTAAATTATGGCCATGGTTTTAGATGCCCACAGTTGGTTTTTAATGGAATAAAATGTTTGTTTTAGCTTTGGTGCCTCAATCTTGGCTCTGGTAACAGGGCTAGCACTTGTTTTTATCCTGAGCCTTCTTTGGATTCAGAGGCGCCTTTTCCTGTGCCCTGGGCAACCTCAAGGCCCAGAAGTAAATCAGCATGGGGGTGGCCTACAGACTTCCTGGACAGCAGGGGGGTGGATGTCGGTGCCTTGGCACCTGGGCCTCTACACACTTCCTGGCCTCTACACACTTCCTGCGCTGACCACTGCCCAGCAATGCCAGCTAGGACCTCACTCTGCTCTCCCACCGCTTCTTCCTGTCTACTGGCCTTGGCAGCATCTCTTGACTGTGTCCCCCTCCCAGACCCACCCTCTCACAGCCATCATCTCACCCTCCAGCACCTCCTGTCCCGGCACCTCCCCTACCCCCACAGGCACACAGCACCCCTAGGCTGCTGAAAGTCAAGCAGATACCAGGGGCACAGTCCCTACTTGGGAAGGGTGGTGCTGGCTGAGGGGCCCTAGATGGAGATGGCTTCACTGGCATCCAGGTCACAGAAGGTTCGAGCTGGACAGGACATTGGCAACTTTTAGAGTCTTCAGAACACCAAGAATTTTCAGTCCGGAGAGCTGTGGGATCAGCTGGGGTCCCAGTCTCCCAGATGTCCCCAGAGCCCTGGTGAGGGTTGAAGGAATTTGGAGGCAAGGATGCCATTCCTGCCCTTGGGAGGGGAGAGAGCTGTTGATATAAGTGGCTGAGGCCATCTGGCTGCTCTACCTGGAGCGAGGGTGCCAGGAAAGCGCCTGGCTGGAGCGACACAGCCACCTGGGTGCGGTGCCTGGGGCCCTGGGCAGGAGGAAGCAGAGTGGTTTGGGTAGGCTTCAAGCTGGTAGAAAGTCCTAGTGGCCTGGAACTGAGGACATGGGTGGGGCTAGGTCTAAGGGTGAACCTTGGGAAGGGGTAGTGGGCACATTGGGGTTGGCTGCTTTGGAGGCCGGCTGCAGCAGCCTGACTCCCCAGGGCCCTCAAGCTGCCCACCTTGGCCATTCACCTCATTGGGACTGTGCTGATGCCTGGGGCCCAAAGAAGTCAGAAAGCTCTGGGCTTGTGTGGGATGTAGCCTTGGGCCTGTATTCCTGGCTAAACACCAGCCTGGCTGGCTCCAGGACTTAAGGACCTTTGTTCCAGCAGCCCCACCAATAGCCAAGACCCCAGGATCACACACTCTTGCATTTGGGGGTTGTTCGTGGTTCTGGCTGCCCAGGCCCAGAGGGGCTTCTGAGGACCTCTATGCCATGGGACCCATTCTACTGCAGCTCATCCCACTGCAAGGAGCTTAGGCCACCTAGTAGTTCATTCTCCCTAGAAACTCAACTCACTGGCTCTGCTGCAAACCCTGGGTTTCAGGGCGGTGTTCCATCACAGCTATCTTGAGCCCATATCCTTGGGTTCTTCCCCTTCCCCACAGTGGGGAGTCTGGCCAGGCCCGAGAGACGCCTTGCCACTGGATTTGGCCCAAGCATTTCTGGACAGGGTCTCCAAGGCCAGGGTTGGGGGCAGATGCCAAGCCTTCCTGCTGCTAGGCTTGGAGCTCCTCCCTACAGTCCCCACCCCCATCCACGGCTCTCTTTTGCCCTGGCCTTTGGCAGAAGTAAAACTGCATTCATTCAAAGCACCTAGAGTGGGGCTGGAAACAAGGAGCTCTCAGTGACTGTAACAGATAACTCTGGTGTGCTCTGTTCTCCTGTGACCCCCAATCCCTGGCTTCCTGGGCCAGGCCAGCACTGGCTTCCAAGGGGTCCCACTCACAGGAGGAAGGTTACACAGGGTGCTCCCAGCAGGGGCTGGCACTTGTGCTAATGGTCAGCACAAGTCTGGGCTGGCCGCCAGGCCAGCTACATGAGCATGGACCCTGCACAGATTGGCAGAAGAGCCAAGACAAGGGGCTGGAGCCTGGCCCGGGCACTCTCTGGGCAACCTGCACAAGTGCCTCCTCCCCATAGCAACGTGCTTGTGGATCTACAGCTAGCTCTGCTGGAGCCCAGCACACATCCTGAATTCTCCAGTTCCTGCTACACTGTTGACTGGAAAGGTCCCAGTCTGTATTTTACAGATGTCTGGTCATTTGCTGTGATCCACAGGTGAGCCCTGAGAAGGCAGGTGGAAAACACCCAACCTGTGGTGGTGCATGGACCCCGGCCTCTTCTCAAAGCCAGTAGCCTGGCAGCCCACCCTCAGCACTTCCTGCATCTGAAAATGCCACTCTCTGGCTAGTGGCTGGGGGACCTGGGGTGGGGGAGTGATTTCCAACCTGCATCCTCTTCTGGGGTCTGCATCAGCCTCCTGCCCCAGGCTCTTCTGACTACAGATCTCACCTTCCTGGGTTGCGGTGAGCTGTAGCTGAGTGTTTCCCACCCAGTGGGAAGGTGACTGAGTGGCAGGGAGGAGGAGGGATAAGGCCATCCATCTTCTGGGTCCCAGGGACAGCCCTGGAGGTCTTCCAAAAAAGCCTTTCAGGGAGGAGTTGGTGGGTGGGTGGATGAGGGGTGCTGCTGGGCACTGGCAGTGACTGGACAGAGGACAGGACACAGGTGGGAGGGTATTCAAACAATTTACTAAGCAAATTCTTACCCTCCCCGCAAGCTTAAAGGAGGGCAGGGCCCTAGCTCCCCGCGCAGGATCTGGTGCCCATTAGCCTCTCCTGGGGAACTGCTGGGGTGAGACAGGGAGGTCCAGGCCAAGTCTTTCGAGCCCCCCCCCTGGGCTCAGGCCCCGCTGTTTAGGGTAAAGGCAGGTTGTATACATCCCTCCGGCAGTCCAGGCTGGGGTCCCTGGGCTTTCCATCTGCCTGGCTGGAATCAGCAGGAGCCGCTGGGGAGGATGGCGGCATCCAAGACCCTGAGGGTCGGGGAGGAAAGTGGCATTTCAGTCCATTGTCCATTCAGCCTAAGGAACCCACGCCCAACTCACATCGGAGCAACGAAAAAGAAACTGAGCAAGTCCTCCCCAAGTGCGTGGCTCCTGTTCAGGGCAGGGCGCGGCCCAGGGCCCGGCTAGTGGCTGTAGAAGAGAACGGGCTGCGGGCGCGTGAAGTCTCAGTCGGTCGGTGCGCCGTGTCCAGGCACTGAGCCGACCATTCCGCAGAGACTGTGCGCCGCGCCACCTGGCATAGGCTGCCGCCCATGCGGGGCTCCCCTGGGCACTCGTCCCGCTTGCAGGAGTGGCCGGCGTAAGGGGTCCCGCCGAGTCTGGCGCCTTCAGACGTAGTTCTTCTTGTCATAGTCGCCGCTGGCCGTGGGCCGCCGCGGAGCGGAGTACTTGACCGGGAAGCTGAAGTCAGGGCGGCCAGCACAGACCCAGGCGCCGCAGCACACGAGGCCGCCGCCGCACATGAGCAGCGCGGAAGCCGCCCAGCCGATGTACAGCGCCGCGCCCAGCTCGTACTTCTGCGACATGGGCACGGTCGGATCGTAGAACTCACGGACCACGATGTTGGCGAACCAACAGAGCGGAACGAGCGCCAGCAGCCCGCAGAGCGCGTAGAGCGCGCCGCCGGTGAGGGCCACGCGCGCCTTGGCCGGACCCGGGGCCACGCAGGTAGTGCACTGCGCGCCCGCCAGGGTCACGAAGAGCGCGACGAGCGCCAGCAGCACTGCGCCCACGGTGAGCGCCCGCGCCGCCTGCACCTCGGTGCTCAGCGCCAGCACCGAATCGTACACCTTGCATTGCATGTGCCCGGTGCTCTGCACCACGCACGACATCCACAGCCCCTTCCAGGTGGTCTGCGCCGTCACGATGTTGTGGTCCAGGAAGGCAGTCACCTGCCACATGGGCAGCCCGCACGCCAGGATCAGGCCCACCCAGCCCACCAGGCACAGCACCAGGCCGAGGATCTCCAGCGCAGCCGACCCCATGGCTAGAGGCGAGATGGACGCCAGACGGCACCCGGGCCTCCAGGAGGGCGCGGCGATGCCTTGGTGGAGCGGCTTTGTGCCCTGAGAGGGCCCTGGTGCCTCTACGCCCGGCTCACTGCCGGCTCACCACCTCCAGTCCACAACTCCAGCAAGTCTACAGCACCGCCTCAGAACTGCGGGCGCCTCTGTGGGGGCTTCCCATTTGAAGGTTCGGGGGCGGACTCTACCCCGCGGGCCCGGCCCCTCGTCCTCGAGTAGCCAATCCGTGCGCCGGCCATCGACCCTCAGCCAATCACAGGCGCCCCCGGCAGCCGGAGTTAGGGCAACAACAGCCCCCGGGGGTAGCTGAGGGCGCGGGAACACTCCTCTCCAGGCCGCCGCCCCCGAGCCTTTTACCCGCTCTTGTCCAGAGCTTGTTCAGGACTGACCTGAGGTAGCTGGGCTCGCTCTCTGCGGGCACCCACTCCCTGTGTCCCAGCCTCTCCATTTCAGGGAGCTGCGTGACTGCACCAACTTCTCCCGCTACATCCAGGAATGAGCCTGAAGGTCTCTACCACCCAAGCCAGCTCCACTCTACCCTTCACCATCACCGCCTTGCAGAGGCTTGTGTGGGGGACTCTTGTCCACCGACAGCTCGCTCTCTTACTCCAGGAAGCTCGCCCTGGAGTTCAGTCGCATCCCCAGCCCCTTCTCCGCACCTTTACTGTGCAGTTCCTCTCTCCGTCCTGGCACTGTCTCCCAGAAGCCAAGAGTCCAGGCAGGCGTGTGTGGGTCGCCAGCCCAAGGTCCTCCCCAGCGCCACTGCCCACCCTCTCACCTCCCCCAGTATGAAGCAGGTGGAACGGGGGCCTTTCCACCGCCTCCGGAGACCCCCACTCTGCCCCTACCGCCGGGGATTCCCGGACCTCCCAACCTTTGTGCTGGCTGCTGCTCTTCCTGAGATGTTTCCCATCCCCCATCCTTTGAGGCCCAGCTCAGGCGACACCATTTTCAGGAAGTCCCCGGTATTCTCCAGTAACTCAACAAACATACTGTCCTCCTCGGAGCAGCCTATAGCCCCAGGCTTGGGGGCGTCCTCTAGCCCTCAGAGAGGAGAAACACAAGAGACATAGAAGTGCTGCGCTCTGCCCTCTCACCAGTGGCAGTGGTACCCCTGGCACCCCAGGCCCCAGGCCACCCTCCGGAAGCTAACTTGGAGTTTCCTGGCCAGGAGGAAGAGCCCCCATCCTCGCTGGAGGCGGGAGGCTCGGGATTTCCGGGCATTCTTCTGCACAATGGCCCAGCCGTTTCTCGAAAGGCCCGCTGGGATGGACTCTGGGCCCCCCTGAGACTCAGGTGGGGGCACCAGACCCTGCGGCCCAGAACCCCATGGGGCCCTTTTCTGGCAGCTCCCTCCCCATCCCATCAGCTCTTTTATTTCCAGCAAAATCTGTGTCTTGGACTGAGGTGGCTGGGACCTGGGTTCTTTCCTTTGGTCCAAGGTGCTTGGCTCTGCTGGACAGGGCCCTCCACAGAGAAGGCCTGACATTGAGGTCAGCTATAGCCTAGGAGTTTTGATAAATCTGTCCTTCCCGGGATCTGGTTCCTTCTCCCTCCTCATATGGCTCTGAGATAAGGCCAATACCCTGTTCCGCCAGCATGGAGAGACACCCAAAGCAAGTTTCCTGGGCTCTGTGTATGAAGGTGGGGGGAGAGGAGGAGTTTTACCCCCTTCCACACCCCCCAACCTCCTTATCTCTGCACAGGATGCGGCTCTGAGGACCACTGCCTCTTCCCAGCCATCACCTCACTGCTTCCTCCCCCTGCAGACTCCCTGGCCATTCCCGTCTCTCCCTGCAGACCTTCCTGGACATCCTCTCCTTTTGTCCACTCCAGGGGGCCCAGCTGCACCACCCATCCCACCCTCCCGATCCTACTCCTTCTGGGCCTGAGTCCAGGGACTTTGCCCAAGGTCCCCCAACATGCTCCACGCTACTCTCCCAGGGTGACTGCTGTGGCCTCCTCAGGCCCTCTGGGCCCCAATCTTGCCCACTCGGTCTGTTCTCCTCAGGGCAGACCATGCTTGCAGGCCCCTCTCCTGGGTCGCATTCTGCCTGAAACCTGCATCACGGCTCACACTACCCACAGACAAAGTGCTGACTCCTGGATGATGTGTGCCTGCCTGCCTCCCTTGGGCCTGGCCAGTCCAGCTGCACATACTCCATGCTCCATCCACACTTGCCTTTCTCTGGGCTCTCAGGCTGGTCTTGCTCTCACTCGTGGCCTCTTCTGTTTGCAATGTCTGTCCCTCAGGTAAGGGCTGCTCATCTTCTAAGTTGTGCTGCTGAGATCACTTGGTCTTGGATGCCTTTCTACCCTTGTCCCCTAGCCTTACTCTCAGAGGCCCAAGTTGGAACTGTCCATCTGCTTATTGGTATTCCCATCAGAATCCAGGACTGAGCCTGCACACAGTGGCCATCTTCATGCATCTGCCCATGGCAAGGTGCTTCCTGTGATCTGTGGCTAACCTCTGGCCATGGCCGCCCCCTCCAGCCAGCTTGGAGCTGCAGCCAGCATGAGGATCTCCCCTCTCTTTGCCTGCCAACCTGCCTCCCTCACCATGGGGCTATCCCAGGGTCCACCTCCGGCCTGGCATCCCAGGGCGACCCCAGCGAACCCTTGTTTCTCTGAGGATAGCTTCCACTTGCTGGAAAAGCTTCAGTCTCTGCCTATCGCAGTCTGATTTCTATCCCAACACCATTGTGTTGGTTGTGGCCTAGGCCTTCAGTGAAACCAGAGCCACCAGAGAGAGACCCAGCCCAGACCTAGAAGGGGCATGAGGATGCACCTTGCCCTTCCTTCCACTCATGGTCATCTGACCACCTGCTGCAACCCGAGCACTGTCTCTGGATGGAGAACATACCCAGCAAGGTCCTGCCCTCAACCAGTAACTGGGTAGGGCCATTTCAGGTGTGCCCATAGCCATGGGATAAAGAGATGGCAGTGTGATGCAGAGTGATAAAGTCCTCTCTGAGGAGGTGACAGTTCAGCTAAGATCCAGGAAAGAAGTTCCATGCAATAGTCTAGAGGTCGGAAGGGACACAGTAACTGGGGGGCAGATGGAGCGCGGTGAGGCTGGGGCAAGACAGTGAGCCAGGGCCTGAAGGCTGAGGTCAGAGGGGTCCAGGCCTAGGCAGGGCCATGAATCCCAGATCTCTGGAGAGGGGCTCCCAGGCCAGCGCGTCAGCCAAGGCCACCTGCTCATCTACAGCTATTGTTCTGCTTTCCCAGGGGAAGTGAGGCAGGATCTCATTAATTGTATGAGGGAAAGGCCTGAGTCAGCAGAAAGCAAAGTTTATCTTGAGCAGCTGCCGACTGACCCAGCGCCAGGGGTGATCTGGTGACCTTCCAAGGACAGTCTAAATTTAGGCTCCCGATTCCTGGGGACTGAGGTTTGGGAAGCTCCTAGTAGCCAATTTAACTTCAGAGGAAGTGAAAAACAACCTTCCTTCTATCTTTTGGCTTTGAAATAGTTAAGGATGTTTTCCTCCAGTGCAGCAGATGTTTGTAGAGTGTCAGATCACAGAACACCTCCTGGTGCCCGTTCTGGGTGCTTCCAGAAGTGGCATGAATGTCTACGTCATCCGGCCCTGCTCTGGGGGCCTACAAGGGGCAGAGGGGCCTGTGATGATGGGCAGAGCACCCTTTGACAAACAGCTAGTGAATTCACAATTCAGACTAGTGAATTGGCCTCTCCTCGTCTTACTTTCCGCATTGGTAACAAAGCCCTCACAGTAGAGGTTGCAACTTTGGAGGGGAGATTAGAGTTTTGCTCAACAGCAAAATGGAGGGGATAGAGGAAAGAATAAGTAAATTTGAACAATAGGATTATTTCATCTGAACAAGAGAGAGAGAATGTAGAATGGAAAAAAAATTTTTTAATGTTTTATTTATTTCTGAGAGAGAGAGAGACAGCATGAGCAGGGGAGGGTCAGGGAGAGAGGGAGTACAGAATCTGAAGCAGGATCCAGGCACTGAGCTGTCAGCACAGAGCCTGATGCTCGAACCCACAAACCGTGAGATCATGACCTGAGCTGAAGTTGGATGCTTAACCGTCTGAGCCACCCAGGCGCCCCTGGAAAAAAATTTTTAAAAAGGCCTTAGGGAAATGTATGATGATAACTGAAGATTTAACATCCATGCCATTGTAGTTCCAAAAGGGGTAGAGAAAGAGGGTAGGGCTTTAAAAAAAAAAAAGTACTCAAAGAAATAATAGCTAAAACTTCCTAAATGTAACAAACATGTAACAAACAAAACCAAAAATCCTACAGATTCAAGATGTTGCCCGAATTCCAAACAGGATTTAAATGCAAAGAAATTAACACCAAGACACATCATAATTAAATTTCTGAAAACTAAAGACAAAGAAAAATATTAAGAGGAATCAGAGAAAAAGGACACCTTCACCTATAGGGTGAAAACAAATCAAATGACCAAAGATTTCTCATTAGAAACCATGGAGAACAGGATAAGTAGTACTTTTTTTTTTTTTTTTTTTGAATGCCGGAAGAAAAACAATGTCAACCCAGAATTCGATATCAGAATATATTCATCAGGAATGCAAGGGAAATGAGTATATTCTCAGATGCAGAAAACTAAGAAATGTATCACCAGCAGATGTACCCTAAAAGAATGGCTAAAGGGTATTCTTTAAACAGAAAGGAAATTATAAAAGGAGGAATCTTGAAATATCAGGAAAGAAGAAGATGATCAGCAAAATCCTGATAAATGTAATAGATTCCTTCTCCTCTTGAATTTCCTAAGCCGTGTTTGACGCTTGAAGCAAAAATTTTTGCACTGCCTAAAGTGGTTTTCGGTCTATGTAGAAAGAGATATCTAGATATTTATACTATAATTAGGGGAGGATAAAGGGATGTAAAGGGAGGTAGGTTTCTTTCTTTTTTTTTTTTTAAATATTTTATTTATTTCTAGGAGAGAGAGAGATAGCGTGAGCAGGGGAGGGTCAGAGAGAGAGGGAGTCACAGACTGAAACAGGCTCCAGGCTCTGAGCTGGCAGTCAGCACAGAGCCAGACGCGGGGCTCGAACCCACGAACCGCGAGATCATGACCCAAGTGAAAGTCGGACGCCCAACCGACTAAGCCACCCAGGCGCCCCAAGGGAGGTAGGTTTCTATACTTCATTCCAACTGGTAAATATTGACACCAATAGACTGGTGTCTAGATAAGTTATGTGTATAATATGTAATCCTAGATCAACCATTAAAAAACTATACAGAGAGATACAGGCAAAAATACTACAGGGGCCCCTGGGTGGCTCAGTTGGTTGTGTCCAACTCT